TACTATATATATATATATATATATATATATATATATATATATATATATATATAGCGAGAGAGAGAGAGAGAGGGAGCCCCCAGTTTTGGTGCATCAGGACCGTACTAAAAGTGGTGTGGGCCCTAAAATATGTACCGTCCAATGTAATGGAAGGACACACCAAGCACTTTAGTTTAGCCCCTTGGTCCAATTGTAATGATGTAGGGCTAGTAGTCTCTGCTGAAACAAAATAACTTGCATAAACTCTAATACATCTGCTTCAGAATGAAATCGAGAGCCTCAACAGAGCATCTATTACTTGTGCTTGTTGCTTGAAACATGTGGTCTAATAGTCCAACTACAAATGTTTGCAGAGGATGCATCCTTCCTCTAAAAGCGTCTTGGCTAGAGTTGTTATGATTTTGTTCACACCTTTCCTGAGGTTCTTCTTTGGGTAAATATGGTTCTTTGCAACCTATATTAATCTCATCTATTTAGCTCACTGTAATAAACTTATTATTGATAGAGGAGATGTTATGAGATGGTCATTACTGGTTTCCTAAAAAGAAAAGGGGTGGAAACTCCTCTTAAGCTTTCTTGAGAAACCCTGTTTTGAATGAGCAGATCTGGCTTCGCTACATCCATGTGGTAGTGAGACATCCAATTAGGCAAGAATTTATGGAATCTCCTCTAAGCCTTATTGCCTTTGTTTTACAGAAAATGCCTCACTAGCCTAGTGAATCACATTTAAAGAATCTTCTTCCTCTATGAGGTAACAAAACAGAATGCCGTAAAAACCTTTAGTCTGCTGGAGGGGCCTTTTCTTTTACCCTATGCAGTTTTCCAACCTAATCGATCGCACGAATGGCTTCTTGACCATGCTTAACTCATCTCTTATTAGGTACCTTAATATTACTAGTTGGGTCACCGAATGAAGTAATAAAGTCTTCCAAATTTTCAGCTTAAAAATTAGAAGGATATTATCCATGTCCTTTAGCATACCACTTGGTTTCCCTGCTCCATATAATTGCCAGTGAACTCCCCCACTCTCACCTTAACAAACTCTAACCAGAGAGAACAAGATATTAACATCTGAATCACTCTCTTCCACTCCCATCCACCATTCCATCAACCTTCTTAATATTATCTGTATGGACCTACCACACCATCCATTCAAGGATTGCATTCTACTCCTCTCCATACAAACTCTATAAATTGATTTTGTTAAAAAAACACCTAGTTTTTGGTAGTTGGTCGCTAGAGGGTCGCATCCGAGAAGAATTTTAAAGCATCAACTTTGGGGTCTCAGGTTCGAAAAGAAATCTCACTTTTAGAATTCTTCATTATGAAGAATCCAGACTGTCCTATGCGTGCGTGTGTAAAAAGAAAGAGAGAGAGGGGTACACTTGCAAATGTCTTAAAGATGAAATACCCAGAAATGCTTAAGTAGGATGTAAAATGATCAAGCTACACAAGTAAGCCATAAATGCTCTATATTTGACCAATTATAGAGTGGTATAATTTCTTTTGCAGGGCTTGACTCAAAAGTTTCGTCGGTTTATGGTTTATGTTCATTCCAAGGGAATGATAGTGGACGATGAATATGTAATCCTGGGGTCTGCCAACATTAACCAAAGATCTATGGATGGCTCAAGAGACACTGAAATTGCTATGGGTGCTTATCAACCTCACCATAAATGGGCCGGAAGCAAAGGCCCTCCTCACGGTCAGGTTTGTAAATCCTTTTCATGGGTTATTCGAGTTTAAAACAATACGGTTGCAGATAGTGAAGAAGTTGTATGCACCAAATAGAGTTTTACTAAAACAATACAAAGCTAGCATTTCTTTTCTTTGTTCTTCTTTCTAGTTTTGCATAGAACTACTGGTTTGACAAGAGTTTGCTAACCTGTATGCTGACACACAAAAGGAATCGGGCTAATCAAAGAAGCAGCCAGATTTTTTTGTCTTGAAGAGTTCTAGCACCCACATAATATTTGTGTCGGTTTTGTATGCGCAAACTTTTAGTACCCCATGATAACTTTCTATTGTGGTTCTCTTTTCTTTGAACCTCGGGAATTAGTGTTACAGCCCTCTTGGACCCTAACCTTACCAAGCCAAGAGACCAAACAACAAAAGAAGAAAAAGAAGAGAGAAGTAGAAAACTTCAGTAACAAATGTTTAAGGACACTACTAACAATTCAATATCAGAATCCAGAAAGAAAATAAAAAAAAATAAAAAAATCTCATTAACAACAAAGTGGAACTAACCCCACTTTTACATCTGAGAATGGGGTTGGGATCATGGTGGTAGCACCACCAGTGCTCCAGCTAAGGTCTAGGCTTCCATTATCATCTAACGCATTCAAAAACCATAAACGGTTTAAAAAATGGGTAGGGCCTCCACTGAATTACCCCCCAAAAAACAAGCCCCACTTTTATCTGTAAATGACCAAAATATTCCTCATGAGTACTACCAATACAAAGAGAGACAAATGAAAGAAGTTTTCCATACTACCAATACAAAGACAGACAAATGAACGAAAATTTCCATAGCATGCATATGTATGTCATACACAGAGCTAAATAGGTACCATGGCTAATGCACCCTCTATGGTATACTTCCATTATAAACGGAGACATGCGACCAAAACTTTCTATAGGATTTATCTGCACTTCATATGCGTAACTTGATGAGCAAGGGCCATGCCTTTTCAGGTGTATGGATACAGGGTGTCTTTGTGGGCAGAGCATCTGGGCTTCCTAGAGGAGTGTTTCCATACTCCCGAGAGCATGGAATGCGTAACGCGTGTGAACCACTTTGCTGAGTATAATTGGCGCACGTTCATATCCGAAGAAGTGAAGGATATGAAAGGTCATCTGATGAGGTACCCAATTAAGGTGGATAGTGAAGGGAGGGTTGGACCATTACCAGGCCATGAATGTTTCCCTGATGTTGGTGGTAGGATTCTTGGGTCGCACAACTCTCTTCCTGATAGTCTAACCACATGATATGACAAAGTACTGGTTAACACATGTGATGGATGATCCAGATTGGCCTCATGACATCTAACATTGTTCTCTTGCTTGGAAAATTGGATGCAGTCTAGGAATCGGGCATGGGCTTGAGTGGTTAGTAGCTGACATTTAGCAGCACTACATCTCAAGGTCGATTCCTGCCGCTAAACTAACAAAAAATAAAAAATAAACAAAATGGATGTAGTCAAATCTAGCCATTTTATGGAATGCAAAGCTATATGTATCATTGTAATGACAAGGTTGTATGGAGAAGAGGCCAAGTCTTGTGAGCAATAGTACTTCTCTCCTTGATGTTGTAACCGCATGATATGACAAAAGCATGCAATCCATCCATGCGACGTATGGTCTAGATTGACCTAGTGGCATCTAATGGTGGTTTCTGGCCTGCTAATGTAATGCGATTTGATCTAGACCATCCATTTTGAAGTTCGACGGCTTCATATATTGTGAAAATAAAGAGTCTAGAGAGACGATGTTGAGCTACAAGTTACAGGATTTAATCCAGGTAATCAATTTGGAAGCTTGTTTACTATTGTAGAAAAAGCTTTTAGATCGAATTCTAAGGCCGGTAAACAATGTCAACATCTTCTCTGTCTCTCTCTCTCTCTCTCTCACATTCATTCATTTATGCCCATGGTTGTAGCGGTGTTAATGTCATTACGTGGACTTACGGGATTCATTTATTTATTTATTTGTTTATTTTTTTTAATGTTAAGGATTTAATTGAGAGACTGAAAGCGGTACATGCACAATGATAAGGAGGAGAAAAAATATAAAGGAAGAGGAGAGGCTGAAAAAAAGAAGAGAAGAGAAGAGGGAGTAGGGAGGGGAATGGAAGGAGAGTCACGGAGGATAGGAGAATTGAAGAGAGGCCACTTAATCACACGCCTCATTCGCTAAAGTATCAGCCTCGGAATTTCTCTCTCTATTAACATGCACAAATTGGACATCATTTCCCTCCAAGCTCAGAATCATCTGATTCATCAATTGTGCCCAAGTCCAAGGGGCTGAGGAGGGTTCCTTGCACCATTTGATCTCATTTTGTTGAATCACCTTCCACAATGATATGCACATGTGTAGGTGTGAGCTTGGCTACCCTTTCTTTTAAGTGCCTTCAGCTCAGCTTCGTTTATGTTACATATTTGCAATCTACCATTATAAGTCCAAGACTATCCCTTTGCAAACCTTCATATCCAGCTGTTTGAATATCTCACATTGCACTTCCATCGAAGTTAAGCTCGAACCAATCTTGTCGAGGTGGGGAGCAAACAAAATTCTTTAACAATTTTCAGATTTCTCCGGCAGTTGTAGAAGAATTCATTTGGGATGTCCTTGTAGTCCGGTAATGCCCTTGCCCATTGCACTGTCTGTGTAAACAGTGATGTTATGAATTACTTGCCCAACATCTCTTGCTTTGTTTTAAAAAATTCTTGCATTGCGCTCTTTCCATGAGGTCAAGCACATTGTTGCCACTCCCATATTTGTGACGCATAGGGGCATGTTAAGAGTGAGTGAGAATTTGTCTTTGCATCCTGCTTGCACAATAAACACACATTTCTGATGATCATCCCCCTTCTCAGTTGATCGTGTTCGATTTTGATCCAAAAGCCATAAGAACGCTCTCACTCTCATGGGAGCGTTGCGTTGATAGACCAGATTTGGTGTTTTGTCTACTGTTTTCATACTCTTCCCTAGAGACAAAAGTGCATACATAGATTTTATCATGAAGTTGCATTTTTGGAGTTAGCTCCCATACAGATATATCGCCCTTTCTGGGACAATAGAAAAAGGAAAAAGTTTATATAAGATTGCAATCTTAAAATGTAGAATTAAATATGCACCTCAAAAGTCCATCGGAAAGTTGTTTTGAAGTTGAAATTGATAATCTCGACATCGAGATGTATGAACATGAAAAAAAAAAAAATTGGTGCCCTGAAAATAGTGCATCTTGTAAACACATTATCTAGACCATCCATTTTTAAAATTTTCATATATTTATAGATCTACTTGATTTTAACTTTTTTTGAAGTTTAAAGTTTTATAATTAGATATGAAAATAAATTTTCAAATAATCCTAAAAATTTTTTATACCAAAATGATAAAATTTGGTAGTGCGCATTGATTGGATTAATTAAAGGATTAATTAAGGTTGCAACCTTATAGAAACCACACCCATAGAAAAAGGAGTAAAGGCGTTATATCACTGTTGGCGTGCATGTGTGCAAGGTGAGTGCTAAACACTCCCATCAACAAGAGTCTGGTGTCGTGGAAAATTGTCTTGACACCTCATGTTGAGACGTCGAAGCGTGGGCATGAATAAAAATCATATAAAGCCCAACCCTAAATTTGAATTTGGATTCTCTAGCAGAATAAATAGCCTTACTTTCTTTTTTTGTCTCCCCCGGAGAATGCATGGGTAACAAATACCCGAAAGTTTACCGTACATATGTAAAAACCCATGTATTTCCACTGTATGAAATTCACATGGCGGATTTGTTCCTTTGAGTGTGTAGTTCTTTGGTTATTTTTCATAATCTTAGAGTCATAATCATATAATACTTACCCCAAATCAGCCCTATCTAAGGTAAATTTATTTATTTTTTAATAAAATCATTTGAAATATATTGGCATATTGACAATCTGATTTTGCATTAAGTTATTTGATTTGACATTGACAATGAATCTATTGTAATATAGCGTTCATTGTACGTTCCTTCACATTCCTGATTGAGAATCAAGTCGTCCTGAATAGGAATCCTATGATCTTGGTTTTGAAATAAATATTGTGAAAACTGAATGATGGATTTTCAAATGAATATTGTGAAGGATTTTCAAATGAATATTGTGAAATCCGAATGATACACTTCAATACATAGAACATCCTATAGCGACCCTTCATTTCCAGCAACTACGACATCAAAGATCATCATTTCTGGGTCCAGTTGAGCTCAGAGAATTCGATGTAAAGGCTGTTTTGTTTGGCTTAGTTGAAATTCTTAAATAGTCGGTGATGTATGACCCTTCAAGATTTGGCATATGCAAAATGAAAACTAAGGACCCCTAAATTGTATTTGATTTGTATTTTTAGTAAATTGAGCTAACTATGGCTATTTCTAGAAATAACGGATAGTTGATGGCAACTTAGTGAAATTTTTGGGAATTTTGTATGTTCAGTTTATGTTTTCATTGATGAAGCCCATTCTAGATAATTGGATTAAGGCTCGGATAATAATGATGATGATGAATTGTTGTTGATGTTAATGATGTTATAAAATGTGGGTCTTGTTGTTTTTCTTTTTTATTTTTTTAAATAAAACAGTGCATAAATTGTTGTTATCTCAAACGATTGTTGTGAAATTAGACTTCATGTAATTGGCATAGAATTGAAATTAGTTATGTGGATTTATGGAAATTTAGGGTACTTAACTATCATTAGTAATATTCTTCACAAATTTAGGGTACTTAACTACCATTTGAGGTATTTGGGGAAAGAGAATAGCTACCTTATTATGTCATGAAACATGGGAGCAGAGCCAACCTGGAAGCTATTCTGCATGGGTTCTTTTTTTTTTAATGTCGTACATGTTTTTGACATGTATCGACAATTTTACACACATACTGACCTAGATCCTTTTGTAATCTCCTTTGTAATACCACCGATTGAAAGTATATGTTTATATCCACTAAGTTATTAGTGTTGTATTCATATAATCTTTGGGTTTATTTATTTGTAGGGTGTAAATTATTACAAATCTTATGCAGAAAAAAAGAAAATGAGTAATAAAAGATTGATTTATTGTATTTGTGGTGGACAACTCCAATCAAATATCGGTGGGACTTTGGATTATATTGGTGGTGATGCATGTACCTTGATCGATCTATCTGGGCGTATGCATGCACAAGTTCTTGTAGATGGAATAAGAGTACTTGCACCTCACTCAAGACGGCCCCCTGGCCGACTTAAAAATAAGCGCATCGAGTCACAGAAAGTACCAGTTCGACCTATTCACTGTACTAGATAAAAAAGAACTGGTCACAACAGGACAACATGTAAAGCACTCACTCGAATGCATTTTTTTAGTTATCTTTTTTGTTTAGTTTTTTTAAATTGTAGCACCCAATTCACTGTATTGGGCATGCCATTTTGTATTGGGTGTGCCATTTTGTATTGGATATGCCATTTTGTATTGGATATGCCATTTTATAAACATATATATATTGGATATGTTATTTTTCTCTCTTTTTTTTAGTTATCTTCTTTGTTCAGTTTTCTATCTCTTTTCTTTTTGGATTGGATATACTACTGTTCTATCTCTTTTCTTATTGGATTGGATATACCACTGTTCTATCTCTTTTCTTATTGGATTGGATATATCAATGTTATATCTCTTTTCTTATTAAATATGCTACTTGTGGTTAACTTGTTATGCCAATTATGATAATATAATTAGCAATGCACGACCCGAAACAACTAAGAGACACAGGGGAGCCATCCACTTCATCAGGTCAAAGGCATGAAGTACGACGGTGAATTTGTTTTACTAAATGATTTACATTAATAAGGTATTTCTCAAGTGACTGACTATTGTAATTTCTTATTAATTTTCATTTTAGGAGAGAAATATACTTCGTATTGATGAATCAACTCAAGCCTTAGCAAAATAGAAGCTCAATCAACGACAGGTACCTCTAATTCATAAGACCGGGTTGAGCCCATTGATGGATATTGGGGTCTCGCGTATCGATTGCAACCTAGTGAGGGCATTTATAGGAAAATGGTGTAAGGACACAAATACTGCAAATTTAAGCATCGATGAAATGGGTCCAACATTATATGATTTATGGCAGATATTAAAGATACCCGTAACAGTTGAGCCTATAACCGACATCAAGCCTGAAAACTATATTTCTTTTGTCAATGAGTATTTGGGATATTGCCCTAAAGATGCCACCCCGATAAAGAACAAACATGAGAGAAGAACAAAGCAAAAAGCTGATCAATTTCAAGCGCCGGCGTTGCAAGAGGAATCGAGGTGGAATTTGGCGAAGGAATTGATTTTTTTTATTTTGGTCTTAGATATTTATATTTGAAACAAATGTTAAGTAAAAATTATGGTCAATATTGATCGTCATTCATTTGTATTTTTGAAATAGATATTAGGTAAATGACATGGTTGGTTACATTTTGATGTTGAGTTTGATATGTATTTTTGGATTTAATATGAATATTCGAAACAGATGTTCAATGAAGGGTATGTTACATAAATGAGAGATCTCTCTTTATCTGCGGTTGAAGGGTATGTTCAGTGAAGAGATCTCTCTTTACATAAATGAGATATCTCTCTTTACATACTCTTCAATGAAGGGTATGTTACATCAATGAAGGATATATTACATAGATGTTCGAAATAGATGTATTTTTGGATTTTATGATTGATATATATCAGTATGTTTGAAACAGATCGGTCGCTTTGGTGATAAACTATGAAGCCATCAAAATGAAGTGTAACTGCTTTAAGGCTAACATATAAAACCCACAAAAGGCTATATAACATTACTACATAGAATTATAAACCACCACCAAATGCTAATATATAACACTACCAAAGGCTAACATATAACATCACTAAAGAGAAACACCTAAATTCAGTTCTACCATACAACACTACAAAAGGCAAAAAGACAAAAAAAAAACCATTGCTTGACAACACTTCGCTCAAGCACTACAACACCACGATTTGCTCCGGCAGACAATATGTATGCTCTGGCAATAACCTTTTCTCACTCCGGTTGTAGAGCTTTTGGAGCCACAGTCGCTCCAGCAATAAACAAGTACGATCCAGCAGTATAAATGCATGCTCCGGCAATAACCATTTCTCGCTCCGGTAGTAGAGCTTCTGAAGCCACAGTCGCTCCGACGGTAAACAAGTACGATTCGGCAATATAAATGCACGCTCCAGTAATAACCTTTTCTCGCCCCGGTAGTAGAGCCTCTGGAGCCACAGTCGCTCCAGCAGTAAACAAGTACGATCCAGCAGTACAAACGCATGCTTCGGTGCTGTGTTTTTCACGCTCCGGTAGTTAGGCTTTTGGAGTCACAACGCTCCGGCAGTGGGAATACATCGCTCCGGCAGTTTGTACGCATGCTTCAGTAGTTGGTATGCATGCTCCGACAGTAAGGCTTTTGGAACCACAGCGCTCCGATATTCATTATATAGCGCTCCGACATTAAGGCAAGGCGCTCCGGCACTACTGTAATAGGCTCCGACAGTTAAGCTTCTGGAGCCATATCGCTCTGGCAGTGAGTGCATTCGCTCTGATAGTAGATTCTACAATCCGGCGTTATTTACATGCGCTCCGGCAATACTGTATTGCTTCATACCACTCCGGCGGTTTTTTAGTTTGATCCAGCACTATGTGATCTCGCTCCGGTAGTATGGTAGATTTCGGTCCGACAGTTAGTTTTTTGGAGCTACAGCGCTCCGGTGATATTGCTCTTCACTCCGGCAGTTAGGTCTCTAGACTGCCAATTGACCGTTTACTGTATGATAAGGGCATTTCTGTCCAAAAAATTATAACTTTTTACTGTGGGGGGGTGTTTGCGAGGAAAGCTTATTAAGGGGAAAAAAATGTGAGAGAAAATTTGAGTGGGGGTAAATTGAGTGAATAGTGCATTCTGGGTTTTGTAATTTTCCCTATTTTCAAATTATTATTTATATTTTTTCTTAATAATTTAAAAGTTTAGTCAAACTAGTTTGATTGGCAATAAGACTGCTTTTGAATAGATAAGATTGCTTTTGAATAGACTAGAGTCCTCACCCATTTGGTGGTTGGTCTGATCCTGGTGACACTAGTTTATATTCAACATGAGCTTTCCAAAATTATCAAGGGTCCCAAAACTCATTGCGGAAGGGTTTTAACATTGAGAGAATGGTTAAAAGTGATTGATATGGTGAAGATGTTTTTCTTGCAACACAACCCTAACTATCTGATACATTATTTTTGGCATGTTTGATTTTGAGAAGCCGTGGCTCCAAAGGCAGCAACTTCTCAGAATTATAGCACTCCTCAGTTTGATTAGGGAGATGCTACGATAGTTCCCTTCCAAAACAATTGCTTAAAATAGGAAGCTACAGCTTCTATACCTCCCCATAGAAGCTATCAATTCAGAATTTCAGATGAAATATCATCATTATCATAGCATTTTTTTCAATTAATTTGGGTCAGCTAATTTCAGGTGGATATGGTTTCTAAAGCTGCGTCTTTCCACTATCCTTTCTTGTATATGTGAACATACAATCCCCAGAAAAAGACCGCATACACTCTTTATGGAATGTCTCTCCCTAATAAATGTTCTTGTTGAGCCAAAAAGTATTTCTTTCAAGAAATTAATCAGACTGCAGACCTACTAGCCAACCATGGGATTAGGGTTCCGAGGCTATGGTATGTCGCAATCGACACCCAAAATGGGGGTGCCAATGGGCTTGGTGGCTTGGCCCTAAAAGACTAGAGCCTTGATCATAAAATGTGGCAAGAAGGTTAGGCAAGGGCTCGACCACCATGGCTTGACGTGGGCTTAGGACAAAGTCAAGATATACTTTTTTTTTTGTTCCCTTGTTTTTCTGTTTCATTTTCTTTTTAGGTGTATTTGGTCTGGCCCGACCCTGTCGAGGCATTGATAGTGCCAAGCCTTTGCCAGGGTTGGGCTCGAGTTGGGCTTGGGCCGGCCCTATGGGGACTATGGATGGGCTTCGCTAACCCTAATCAAAATTATGTTGCCATGTCTTTAATTTTCGGTAGGTCCTAATCCAAAATCTATAGTTGTGCCTTAGATTTTTTGGATATTTAAGTGGGTATTTTTATATTTTAGTTTTTTGGGTATCGTAGTGGTTAGTAATTTTTTAAGGTGTCAATAAAAATAGAAGTTACATAATGCAATTGATGTACGTGGGGTGCTACTATCACGACCTAAACCCCTTTACCTTTTCCGAAGGGTAGCACTACTTTTCTTTTTTGGGTAAGTGGTAGTACTACTTAACGTTAGAGTTCTAATAGAATCCGGTGCATTAATGCTGGTACGTCTGGAATGGGCCTTCAATTTTCGATATAGCAATTATTCTATTTTCGAAGGAGTCTCTTTGTATCTGCTATACTACGTTCTTAATTTTAAGAAAACATGTAGGATCTCTTTCCCTCGTATTTACCAAAAGTAAGTTTTTATGTGGGCATATGTGGGCATATTCAATATGCGCTCTTGGCACTAAATATATATTTTAAATATAATTTGATTATAATTTTCAGAGAATATATAAAGTTTTTATGGGGGCATATTCAATATGTGCGTTTGACAATAAATATATATTTTAAATATAATTTGATTATAATTTTTAGAAAATATATACGGGAGATTATGAATATAAAAAATAATAATAATTTAAAATAAATAATAATAATTATATTAAAAAAAGATTTAGCCAGTTAGTCATCATCTTTAACTATATAATGTAGAAATGCGGTCCACCCGCTGGACAATTTCCCTCAAAAGATGCTTAAAACGAAGGACCATTTTGTCAATCTGTAAAATGACATGACTGGCATCAATGAATCACCTCCTCTATATGTTCCCCCAACTTCTTAAACCCTCGGCCCCAAAACCCTACCTACAGTCAACAGTCTCTCTCTGTCATCGACATGGCAGCAGTTTTCCGTCTTCGCCGCTCGCTATCTCTATCTTCTCTCCTCACGCACCAACTCACTCCGTCTCCCTCTTCCTCTTGTATCTCATCCCATTCTCACCTCCACACTCTCTCTAAACCCAAAACCCGAATTCCAAACCCCACCATTCCTTCCTCTCCCTTTAAACCTCACCTTCAGAAATTCCAGTCCTTTGCCTTCTCTTCTTCATCAGGTTCAAATCGATTGGGCGATGATGGAAAGATCTCACCGGACACCATTTTGTTTGAGGGCTGCGATTACAATCACTGGCTCATCACCATGGATTTCCCCAAAGACCCGAAGCCAACACCTGAAGAAATGGTGGAGACCTATGTGCAAACCTTAGCTAAGGTGGTTGGAAGGTATTTACCCATTTTACTCCAGTATTTAATTGTGATTCTTTTGTGTGCGCTTTTGGTTGTCAATACTTATTACATCGTTATTTCTCGGAGAATCACATCACAGTTATGGAAGATTGTTTTCACCATTTATGATTTTCACGGTTCTAATTTTTTTCTTTTGAAAATTTCGGGGATGGAAGTAGGGTTGTAACAGAGAGGGATAGAGAGTGTGCATGTGTGCAGGCAAGGTAGAATGTGTGTGTGCGTGTGTGTGTGTGTGTGTGTGTGTGTGAGAGAGAGAGAGAGAGAGAGAGATACAAAATTATGGAGAATTTTCAAATTAGTTTTGAGGAAACTGTCAAGTTCTATATGATTGAGACCAACTTTGCTTTATGAAGCGGAATGTTAGGTGGTCAAGAAACAATATACCATAGGATCAGTGTAGGTGAGATGAGGATTTGAGATGAGTGAGAAGAAGGGATAGAATTTGAAATGAATATATTTTGGAGAACATATATGTGGCTCCAATAGGCGATGAGAGAAAGTAGACTTAGGTGCTTTGGCCATGTGCAGCGTAGATCCAGTGCAACACCTATTAGGACGAGCAAGTTACTTCAAGTAGAAGGCTAAAAAATGGGTAAGGAGTAAACCCCTGAAGTAGTGACAAAAGATATGAGGACTTTTGGTGTCATGGAGGGTATGATACTTGAAATAGTTGGGAATGATGATGAAGAGATGTAAGAAAGTTGTTTAGATAAAATAACTGTTATTTGAAAATCATACACTAATGGAAGAAGGTTTTGAAGTAACTGGTCGCCAGTTGTATCTGTTGGGTCTCATGCATTATGGAGATATTTGTAATCAGTTTGGAGGAAAGCAAATGTAGAAAGATAGATTCTCAATCTTGCACATTTTTTATTTAGTTTTGATGGGTTTGCTGCATATGATGGGCATTTTACTATGTATGTATGCAAAACCAAGAAAGGATAGAGTGTTGGTCTCTTCAGTTTCGGTATCAGTAGGAAGCTTAGTAATGCATTACTAGTAATAGTAGTACCTAATAAAAAAGTAGCAGTCGCAATCGTGGTATGAGTAAGAGTTTGATTAGCAGTAGCAATATGAGTTGTAACAATGGCAGGAGCTGTAGTCGTAGCGCAGCAGCGGAAGCAGCAAGAGCGGGAGCAATAGTTGCAGCAGCAGCAGCAGTAGTAGTAGTGGGAGCAGCGGCAGTAGCAGTAGCTATGGGAGCAATAGTAGTAAGCAAGAGGAGGCACTTTAGTAGCAGTAGCTGTCGTAGCAGTGGCAACAGTAGTAATAGTAGTCGAAGTGGGTGTAGCAATCGTAGCAGTAGCTGTAGTACAAGTAGCAACAGTAGCAGTATTAGCTGCAACGATAGTAGCAGCAGTATGAGTATGAGTATGAGTAGCTGTTGGAGAAGTTGTAGGAGTAGCAATGGTAAGTTATCAGAAAGAAAGAAGTGATATAGCAGTAGCGGTAATAGTAGGAGTAGCAGTAGGATCAACATTAGTAGTGAGAGTAGGAGTAGCAGCAGTAGCAGTATCAGCATTAATAGTAGCAGCAGCGGCAGTGGTAGGATTGGTGGTAGTTTGGCAATAACAGCAGTGCAGCAGCAGTGGCAGTAGAGTTTGTTGTTGTTGTTCCTTAGTCAAAATGACTTTGATTTTCATTATGTCATTTGCCATCATGAGTGGTATTCAGTTTTTAAATGTGTTACTAGTAGAAGTGGGACTGGTGGTTGTACTGGTAATAGTAGTATTGGGAACTGTTTTTTTGGCTGATCGGGCTCCTGTGCTTTATTTAGGCATTTCGCTAAGTAAAGTTTTAGCCTTTTTTTTTTAAAAAAAAAAAAAACCTTTTATGTGTTATTTATTGAGAGAGTTCTTTTTGGTAATAACTGATATGACCATGACTTAGTTATTTGTGCTAGTTTGGAGTCTGATTTATTGTAGTGATCAATTTAATGAGGTTGGATGGATGGACTGGGCCAATTTTGATTAATTTTTTGTTTGTGACAGTGTGGAGGAGGCTAAGAAGAGAATGTATGCATGTAGTACAACTACTTACAATGGGTTTCAAGCTGTGATGACAGAAGAAATGTCTGAAAAGTTTCGAGGTAAGTTTTCTTCACCTTTTCTTATGGGTAAAGCGAAAGTGGACATTTAGGACCTTTGTTCAAATTGATTTATATTTGATATATTCGCACTTACTTCTGTAGGATCTTGTATACCCCCTTTTCAGTTCCCCTTTTGATGCTTGATGTTTACTGCAAGAGCATTTTTTTTTTCCCTCAGGTTTACCTGGTGTTGTCTTCATTTTGCCTGATTCATATATCGATCCTGTAAACAAGGAATATGGAGGTTTGTATAGCTTTTTATGTGACAGATATTTTCTCCTTTGTTGATATGCAGTTGTAATTCATCGTTTGATTCATTCATGGAAATTGAAGCTTTCATTCCTGCCAAACTATTGAAGTGCATTTTTTCTAATGCCATTTTATTCTGTTTTCCTTTGTTTATTCCTGCTATGCTAATGTTACATGTAAGCAGATGGCATTTCTCAAACTAGTACATAAAAATAAAGAATAATGGTGTTCATAAAATAGCTTCAATTCTAATCATTAAAATAATATGATGTCTTTGGTTTGGTTAATTCCTCTATTTGTTGTTTTTTCTTCTTACTAGGTGACAAATACATCAATGGAACAATCATCCCTCGGCCTCCTCCTGTCCAGTATGGGAGGCAAGGAAGATATGGTGGTCGAAATCAGAACTATGACAGGGCTCGTTATGACAGGCCAAGGGAACCAATGCCAATGAATCAGGGTGAATCCACACAAGGAGATCGAAGGGATCCTCCTCCATTCGATCGCCAAAGTTCCATGCAAGGTGATGGACGGGGTTATGCCCCTCCACCTCCACCCCGAAATGTGCAAGATGGGAGGGTTTATGCTCCACCACCTAGTAATAACTATGGGCAAGGGGAGAGGCAGGATTTTAGCCCAATGGGCAATAGGGATTTTGGGCAAGGTGAGAGAAGAGATGCACCACCAATAGGTGGTCAGGGTTATGCTCCTACAGGAAGAGATAACTTCCAAGGTGGTATTAGAGATAACTATCAAGGTGGTTATCCACCTGCAGGAAGAGATGGCTTTCAAGGAGATCGAAGAGAACCCCCACCTAGTTACCCGAATTATGGAGAGAGAGGAAACTATGCGCAAGGAGAGAGAAGGGGACCAGGGGTTGGTTATCCACCACCTCAGCAGGGAGAATTTAGAGAAGGGGTTCAAAGAGATTACAGGCAGGGACCAGGTCAGCAGGGAGAATTTAGAGAAGGGGTTCAAAGAGATTACAGGCAGGGACCAGGGGTTGGTTATCCGCCACCAGGGCAGAGTTATGCGGGGCCAGGAGAAGGGAACAGGTTTTCCCCTGAGGATTACAGGGATGACGTGCAAGGAGATCAAAGGAACTATGCTCCTGGGCAGTGGGGGCCTGGGCAGGTAACTGTTTATTGATAATTTTGCATAATTTAAAATTTTGTTGATAAATCAGTATTGTTTTGGAAGATTTATTTGCATCATAAAGTATTTTGTCCACAAGGTTAGAACCATATGCATATAATAAAGAAATAGGAGTACCATTTATGTTACTTTGTCCAAGTAATTTTTGATAAATATTTTATGGCTAGTAGTTTTCTTTTGTTAAGTCTGTGTTAAACGACAGATCATGTGGAAATTATTATTCATAGTTTTTCTATTTTACTGGATGTTATGATTAAATTACGATAATAGAGCATATGTTGGCACCTTTTCTTTGTCTGTTTGTGGCACCTTAGGTAGGTAAAATTTTGAAATTTGTGGGTTGTTTGGTGAAGCTTTCATGTAATATCCATCAAATTAGACTTATTGACCAGGTTTTACTCATCCACTAAAGGAGACCTGAGTTTGCTGATTGTTGTATCCTGGAAATTATTTTCTGCCAAACTTACCCTCCAAAGAAAATAAGATAATCATGTCATTACTGCACTGAGATTTGGTCATGTATATGTTGTTGGAAAAATTCAAAGTTCAAAATGGGTGCCCCATGGATTAATGGAGGAAGATGTCTTTTTGCTCAAACCGTAATCTATTGTGGAAAAGGATTGAATTTTTTTTATTACCAGAATTTAGATTATAATTTTCCAATAACATGCTGCATATGAACCTGTGAAAGACCTCGATAATGGAGTACTTAAGGTTGTTTTTAAGCATCTCGAACCTTTACTGTTGACAAAAAAACTAAGACGAGTATTTCAATCAGAGTAATCACCCTCGAATTTGGTTGATGCGGAACCCTCATGGATGTTAGTGCTTTTGAACTAGAACTACTCTTTTTGTTGATAGTTCACTTTGTGGCAAATGGCCTTAGGGTCTGGGCGGACAGGTTGACAGAACATGACTTGTAGAGTCTATTTCTACCAAGGTCCCAAGTTCGCATTCAAAATAATAATTCATTTTGTATTAACTATTAAGAGAGTATATATGCATCTAGTTGTCCCTGCTTTGTACGTACAAATGGAGATGCATATGAAGAAGACGAAGGGACGAAGGAAGAGTTGCTAGAAGAGAGTAGGATTGAAATGGGAAGAGAGGTAGGGGGAGGGTGGAGCAGGTAATGATCAAAATGAGTACAGGGCATAGTTATGCATCAAGCCAGGAAGGTTACAGGTTCTGGATGAGTAAAGAGCTTTGCTGAAAGCCATCTTCATATTGTTCGCTCCTGTGAGTGTGGCAGAATGTGCATCCAATAGAGCCCCCAAAGTAAAGGTCTCCTCCGCAAATCTGCTAACCATGGAAAGGGGGACTCTCTTAATGCCTACCCAAAAAACTTCTGGCAGTGGATTGTATATCATGGATCAACCATCATCTGAAGAAACAAACGATGTGTTAGATGGTGCTACAAAAGGATATTCGAGATTAAAAAGGAATTGAGAAAGGTGGAAATGGTGCTTGATAAAGGAAATATGTAATAGATGGCAGAAAAGCTATGTTTTTTTCATTTAACTTATTGATTTCATCAATTATAATTTCTTTACGTGTGTGTGTTGTATGGAATATCTCTTTGTACAAAATTTGCACTAGAAGCTTTGAAATTGGTGACTTTTACTTACTCTACAAAACTTGGGTAAATTGATCAATCATTTGCTGACAAGAAAAGTCGTGTGTTTTTTTCTTTTTTGGGGTAATATAACTAGAAAAGTTGTATGTTGCTGTCATTCAATTAGGATCAGATTCATAAAGCAAATAAAGATGAGAAAAAGCCTACGTAGTCTGAGCTTTTGAGACATTGTGAATAAATACAAGAAGGCCTTGTCCTCAAAGAACACCATCAATGAAGATGTTGTCTGAGGGATGACCATGGTCAAAGTGTGTAACTCATTTACGATAGGCAGCAGCTTTGATGTATGTTTCAAATGTGTTTATGAATCCAAAGATCTTTTGGATCAGCTCTTTTGGATGTAAGGCTCTAGCTAACTGTTGTCTTAATCATAGTTGTTGGAAACTCCTGGAAACCTGAATCGTTTTATGAACCGGAATCGGGGAATCGCTGCCGGCTAGAAGATTCGTGTCTTAGGAATCGTTGTCCGTACAATAGGTATGGTGGGGAACGAGATCCCTGGTTTGAGAATTGTGTTTCAACCGAAATAGATCCAAGTTTCATCCACATATGGAATCGAGATCCCATCCTCCTTAGAATCGAGATTTCTACTCCCCTAGAATCGAAACTCTAGGAGTCAAGATTCATTAATATGCGAAATCGAGTTTCTGACATCAATGGAATTGAGTTTCTGACATGTGGAACAAAGATATGTTGTTGTTTCGAATCGTGATTTGAACATATTTGGAATCAAGTTTATGAAGTATATGGATCAAAGATCCATGCCAGTTTGAGATCGAGATTTACAATAATATGGACTATGAAATGCGTTTGAAGACCCCTACCAGGAATCGAGATTTCATTTTTATGAAGAAGGAAGAAGCCCAAAGCACATCTTGAGCCTTATCAACTTTAGAACCTATATTGGATGTCTCTTATTAGAAGGTTTTCCAAATTTTAAAGTGATTGTGTTGACTATTGAACTTATGGTGATTTTGACTTCACTATCATAAAAACAAAATAGGATTATGTCTATGTCATGGTTTTACTTTTAATTGTATGTGTTGTATTTACCGGTTATATTTTAAATTTAAAGTAAAAGCCGTCTAGGGTGGCACAAGTGAAATAATGAAAGCCTGTAATTACTAGAAACATTCGAAGGAAGATTTCTACTCCAATTTCATTTAGGAAATGCACAACCATCATAGACATTGGACATTATGTACTTTGAATTGTTTTTTTTTTTTTTGATACTTTGAAAGATTTAATCATCGCAGGAATCCATATGCGATATATTTGGGAACGTTTACCCACAATTATTGGGTTCAAGTTTCTAAAGATGTGTTGGATCGAGATTCCGAAATTAAGGAATCGAGTTTCCTTGGTTCCGATAAATGGTTTCTAAAGATGTGTTGAATCGAGATTTTGAAATTAAAGAATCGAGTTTCCTTGGTTCCCAAATATGCTTTTTAAAGATGTGTTGAATCGAGATTCCGAAATTAAGGAATCGAGTTTCTTTGGTTTCGAAAAACGGTTTCCGTAGAGATTCCTTAACGTAACTGTGAGATCGGGTTTCAGAACCAGAATCGCGAGGTCGGTGGAGATATTCCGGTAACTATGGTCTTAATCCTCTGCTGATGGAGGTTTCAGTAGGTTGCTTGTTATCATCCAACCCAAATTCTCTTTTGAATTTCCAAGGCATTTGATTGTATTTCATCTATACCATACCTTTTTGTTGTTTCTCTAAAATTTATTGCTTTTTTGTTTTCTATAGATTTGGAATTGGCATGTAAAATGAAGAAAAACATATTTTTATTTATAAATTTTAAAACTACATAGCTTAATTGTTCTTAAAATCTACTCATGTAACAATATTGCGAAAGGTTGCTCCAATGTGTTGACTTTATCCATCAGTTGTCATAATCCATTGCATCATATTCCAATATGATGTTTGTAGTGTAATAGATCAGTTGTCTTTCTGGAAGTTTAGATGACTTAACAGAAATCTATACTTCGCCTTTCTGACTAGAACCTTATGCCATTGGGTTTCATATGTTCATGTGTTTTGTTTCAAATTTTAAAACAAATTGTGGTCCTAAAAGGAAATCCTTGAAATTTTGGTTCTCCTTTTAACTATCGTGACTTCCATTTTCTTCGGGTCTGTAAGAATGACTTAGGTGTAGAGTGGCTTGCATGATTTCTATAAGTTAAACTATGATTTCTTCTGATCAAAGAATTCCTAGTTGCGACACAATTCAGTTATCCTAATCTGTTCTAAATTGTCTTTCCTTTGTCCAATCCAGACAAATAGGTTAGTGTTCGATATGTTAAGGGGCAGCAACAGATTCCAGAAACATGGCTCCAGTAGGACAATTACTAGATTCTATTTAAAGGAATTGGGTTATTAGTCCCACCCGCTCATCAATCTGACATTATAGAGCACCTCTTCTTCTATCAAGCTTCCTCATGGGTGTCTAAACTTATTTCATACTCTGTATGTCTTATTCATCTTGAGGCTTCTATGCTTATGATTTGGGACCTCAAAGCCAGTACCAAGAGCTCCATTCAAGCAGGTGACATTAGAAGGGATGCCAACTTAATGGAGCAACCTGTTTATATATTGTCACACTCAATGTCAAACTTATGAAAACTCATTTTTCAATCTCCAAGATGATCATTAGGACCAGATAATGGATGTCCCTTTTGGGTATAACATTTGATTGATCCCAGTGTATATCTTGTCAAATTTTCAGTCTTCAGAGCTTCAAG